CAACGCCCGGCCACCACGCTCACAAAATCCACCCCAGAAAAAACTAATGAAAAAGGATAGGCTATAAACACAATGGGTTAAACAGCTCCCCCAGCCCCCTCACCTCCTCTCTCACTCCCTTACCCCTTCTACCACACTGTCACAAATCCCTCACCACTGTATCTGCCCCTCCCACAGGCTTCCCACTCTGCCCCCTGCCACACTCACAGTGTAGCCAGTGATTTTCAGACACCAAAACAGGGTTGCAATGGGATACCCTGAAATCTCGAGACCCTCTAATCATGTTGCTACCACAAACTACCACACCCATCATATTGCCCCTTCATCAACCCCGCTGGCATTAGGAGTGATACCAACCCGGGCATACTGCTCCGGATTCTGGGTAAATACGGCAGCTTCTTCACAATGATGGTCCCATCGTAGAAGGAAGGTTGGAATTTCTGCGCTATGGCATTCGCTACAAGTACAGCCAATAGAACAGGTAAGAAATGTGCCAACTGTCCTGTTAGCTCAAAGACCAACAGCGCTGTGGACAGTGTATGGGTCACAGCTCCAGAGAATGCTGCTGCTCCTGCCAAGACAAAAGGAAAGACCCTCACGTTCTTTGAGCTTACAGAGGAGAAAGGTTAGAACAGCCCGTAGTGATCTACCAAAACAGAGCATTCATTGCCTGAAAAAATATACCTCAGGTGTGAGCAAAATATCGCTTGGGTGCCATAATGACAATCCATGTTATAAGATATTGCAACAGAAAGGTGGTACATGTTAGGAAGGCATAAGAAGGGATGGGTGCTACAGTCCAGCCTAGAAGGACTATAATATTTTTCTTTTATTTCTCTAAGGTTTGGAGTTGGGGTGGCACGGTGGCTCAGTGGTTAGCACTGCTGCCCCACAGCCCCAGGGTTCAATTCTAGCCTCAGGCAACTGTCTATGTGGGTTTGCTCCGGTTTCCTCCCACAGTCCAAAGATGTGCAGGTTAGGGTCGATTGGCCGTGGGAAATTGCTCATAGTGCCTAGGGATGTGTAGGTTATGGGGGTTGCTGGGCTGGGGTGGGGTAGAGGGGTAGGCCTGGATGGGATGCTCTCCAGAGGCTTGTTGGGCCAAATGGCCTGTTTCCAAACTGTAGGGGTTCTATGATTTGTGACTAGGTACCTTTGTACCTAAGGTGGCACTGTGTGCAGTGACATTGTACACTTCTCACTGTACTTGAGTACACATGACAATAAATTCTAATTTGCTCAAAACAGTTATTATTTGATCGGGTAAGAGAATCCTCTGGCTGAGCAGCTGCAGACAGGGCGATACAGCAATGCATTGGGAAGGTTTGTTGTAATACTGGGATACAGCTGTACACAAGTATCAACATCAGTCCTACTGCACACATCGTGAGACTTGTATTTTTAATCAACCTGCCCATGTCCAGGAGCTGGTGGGTATTGAACTAGGACCTTCTAGACCAGAGATAGGCCCATTACCACTGTGCCACAAAACCCTGGTGAGACCTGAAAGACAAGTTGACAATATAGAAGCATATCTAGGAAATGTGTGACTAGCACATACTTGCCTGCAAGGGCATATCCCCCAGGGACTATTGGGTTAAGGACTCCTTCAGACTTGATGCCATTAGGAAATATAAGAACCATAATTTCTCCCACTAAGCGACCGATAACGGCCCCTGCAGAATACAAAATGCAGAAGATAAATGTCAGGGGTTTATGAAACATTGTTTATAGAAGAAAATAAATCTCAGATTTAAGGTTCTCCTGAGCCAGTTTTTATGTGATCCCCATGTGCAACCATCCTGGATCTGTATCCATTGGTAATCTGTCCGGAAGGAAACTGTGCATCTCCCTATCTACAATTAACCTCGAGATCAGACTTTCCATCCCCTTGATTATAGTCGACTAGGGAGAGATTACATACCCTGCCTTTCTATAAACTAAACAGCCATCTGTTCATCACTGATGGTTTTCCACAGCAGAAGGAACTCTTGAAATGGCAAAAGGATTTCACTCCAAAATGTGTGTGAGGTGGAGACCCTCAATCCAGGCTGGTGCCATATCACAGAATCACAGAAGTATTATGGTGCAGATGGAGGCCACCTGATCCATTGGGATTGGTTAGATCAGTTGGCTGGGACAACTGGCTTACAATGCAGAATGCTACCAATAGCATGGGTTCAATTCCTGCATCAGCTGAGGTCACCAGGAAGGACTCTCCTTCTCAATCTTGGCCATCACGTGAAGCATGGCGACCCTCAGGTTGAACCCCCACCAATCATGTGTACGTGTGTGTCTCTCTCTCTCTCTCTCTCTCTCATGAGAGAGCAGCCCTATGATCTGCTCTGGCTTTACTCTATAATGTGGTAAGCAATACTCCAGCTGAGGTCTCACAAGTTCAGTATCATATGTGGATGGCTCAGTGGTTAGCAATGCTGCTTCACAGCTTCAGGGACCCAGGTTCAATTCCAGTCTCTAGGCGACCGTTTGTATATTCTTTCTGTCTGTGTGGGTTTTCTCCAGGTGCTTTGGTTTCCTCCCACGGTACAAAAATGTGCTGGTTAGGTGGGTTGGCCGTGAGAAATGCAGGATCATAGGGAGGGGGAGTGGGTCTGAGCGGGGTGCTCTTTGGAGGTCAGTGTGGACATGATGGGCCAAATAGCCTGCTTCCACACTGTAAGGATTCTATGATTATGCACTGACTATCCAATGAGGGCCATGACATAGTACCATTCTCCTGCCTCCTCCCCATACTCCTGTACATTGTTTCTGTTCAAATGATCATCACTGGCCTCTTGAAAGCTTCAGTTGATCCTGCTCTACATTTGCAGATAAAACTATGCTCCCTCATACTCAATCCATTTACGAGTGCAAAATGTTTGTTCCCATCTACTTTGCCCAGGCACATCTTGATTCTGAAAAAGTCTATCAGATCTCTTCTTAGCCTTCTTCTCTCCAAGGTGAACAGTCCCAACTTCTCCAATCTATCCTCATATCTGAAGTTTCTCATCCCTGGAACCATTCTTGTAAATTGCTTCTGCAATCTCTCCAATGTGTTCACATCCTTCCTACAATGTGACACTCTGAACCATACACCATAGTCCAGCTGTGATCTAACAAGTATCTTGTATAAGTTCATCATTATCCCCTTGACTTTTGTACTCTATGTCCCTATTAATAAAGCTCAGGTTACTGATTACTTTATTAAACTCTCCCTGTATGTCCTGCCAACTTCAATGATCTGTGTACATAAACACCAGGTCCCTCAGCTCCTCTCCCTTTGAGTATTGTATTTCCTATTTTACCTTGTTTATTCATGTTCTTCCTGCTAAAATGTATCGCCTTATACTTCTCTGCATTGAACTTCATTTGTCACTTATATGCTCTTTCCAACAACTTGTCTATGTCCTTTTCGAGTTTTATACTGTCCTCTTCATAGTTTACAAAGTTTCCGAATTTTGAATCATCTTCAAATCCTGAAGGATTGAAGTAACATGAAAGAGTTAAATCTGCTTTCCTACTGTGACCCCATGTTGAGGCTTCAAAATTGTCATGACCCTCAGTGAGAACTGTGAAGATGTGGTGTTAGACTTTGAGAGTATGGCAATAACGGAGAGAACTTATGAAAGCAGGTGCTAGAAAAGTGTCCGAGAGCTGGGACTGGAAGTGGGTGAGGGAGGGAGAACCTCTGAGAGTGGGGACTGTCATTGAGTCACAGAGTCATACAGTGCGGAAACAGATCCTTTTGCCCAACTCATCCATGCCGACCAGGTATCCTAAACTGAACTACTCCCATCTCCCTGCATTTGGCCCACATCGCTCTTCACCTTTCCTATCGATGTAGCCATCCAAATTTCTTTTAAATGTTGTAATTGTACCCACCTCTACCAGTTCCTCTGACAGCTCATTCCATACATGCGCCACCCTCTGTGTGAAAAAGTTGCCCCTCAGTTGCTATAACTTAATCAGAGGTCCATAACAGTGTTAGAGCTCGAGACTCTATTTATGACCTTGAAGGCCTGGGTTAAAACAATGTCTATCACAATGCAGGATCATACCTTAAGTACACATAAATAAAATAAACCAGCTCATTGTACTTGCAGGGAGGCTACGCTAGAGCTGTATAAGTTGCTGGTTGGGCCATAGCTAGGGCATTGCTCACAGTTCTGGTCACTGCATTATAGGAAGGACGAGATCAAACTGATGAGGGAACAGAGGAGAGTTAGGGAACGTTACCAGACCTGGAGAATTTTGGCTACAAGGAAAAGAATTAATAAAGTATGGTTGTATTCTTTGGAACAGAGGAGGCTGAGGAGAGATTGAATTGAGGTGGAAACAAAGGATGAGGGACAGGATGGTTAGGAAGGATCTACTAGGAAGGATTGACGGGAGTCAAGGAGAAATGTTCGCTCAGAGCGGGTTGGGACTCTGCCTCACTAGAACTCACTGCCTGAGAGGATGGCAGAGGCAGAAACACACAAAACGTATTTTAAAAAAACACTTGCATATGCGGGGCTTTTAAAAGAAGTTATTTTATCCACGGGATGTGGGCATTGCTGAATGGTCCAGCATTTATTGCCCAGGTCCCATTGCCCTTGAGAAGGTGGTGTTGGATTGCCTTCTTGAGCTGCTGCAGTCTATTTGGTGTAGTCAACCATATGCTGCTAGGCAAGGAATTCCTGGAATTTGCCCTAATGATACTGATGGAATGGCAACATATTTCCGAGTCAGGACGGTGGGGGGCCTGGAGGTGAAATTGTAGATGGTGGTGCCCTTGGCCTTCTAGATGGTAGTGGTCATGGATTAGGAAGGTGCTGTCAAAGGAGTCTTGGTGAGTTGCTACAGTGCATATTGTAGATGATACACATTTCTGCTACTTAGCATCAGTGTTGGAGGGAGTGAGTGTTTGTGGGTGGGGTGCCAAACAACTGGCTGCTTTGTCCTGGATGGTGTTAAGCTTCTTGAATGTTGTTAGAGCTGTACTCATCCAGGCAAGTGGATCATATTCGATCGCTTCCTTACAGAACAAGAATTGGAATGGTGTGCCTGGCTGGATTGCTGGCTCTTAGCCAGCATGGGGACAATGGGCCAAATAGCCTCCTTGTGATTTCTCTTCGTTATTCATTCATTGGATGAGGGTGTCGCTGGCTGGACCAGTATTTATTGCCCATCCCTAATTGCCCAGAGGGCAGTTAAGAGTCAACCACATTGCTGTGGGTCTGGAGTCACATGCGGGTAAGGATGACAGTTTCCTTCCCTAAAGGATAATTAGTGAACCAGATGGTTTTTTTCAACAATTGACAGTGGATTCACGGTCATCATTAGACACTTAATTTTTTTTTATTGAATTCAATTTCCACCATCTGCCGTGGCAGGATTCAAACCTGTGCCCCCAGAGTATTATCTGGGTCTCTGGATTAACAGTCCAGCGATAATACCACCAGGCCATTGCCTCCCCTGTTCCATGAATGTTCTGCGTCTCTAAATTGTAAACCTAATAGCTGTTTATAAAGAAAAGTTCAGGTTCTGATTCAATGGTTTCAAATTTTCAATTGATTTTAAATTTTAATGATTTAATTTTAAAGCCCTGCTCTGTTGTTATGTATTGAGCACTAGGATTTATTTCCTGAACTTACCATATATAAGAACGGGCATGAAGTATCCAGCTGGCATTGGTATGGTGGTCGCAAGGATCAGCATCCAAAACTAGAGATAAAGGGGAAACAGTGCAAAGTCAGTCTGGCATGAAACCTCAAACACGGTGTTGTTTCCTGTAGTATACACATGGCTATGTGTGAGGACAATTCATAACTGCACATATTGTGGTGGCCCTCAGACATTAAATGACTACAATTCATTGTGGGTCAGTGATTAATGAACTTATTTTAAGGCTGGGTTTGAAAGTCACAGCTTACCTTCATGAAAAGGAAGAAGAGAAGCGTGCCAAAAAAGGTGAAGCTTGGGTGGCACCATTCAATCCAGAGGTTGTCTGGGTCTACTCTTGCCTGGATGTTGAGCGTTGCATTCTGAGACAGCACAGCCCAGGACCGGTGATCGAAGAGTGAAGAGAGAAGCTCCTTCATAGTGAGCTACACCCAGGGAAACAACACACAGTCAGAGATCATCCCTTCTCCACCAAAGTCATTCATTTCTCTTTGGTAGAGTTGTTGCGGAAGTTAGGTCATTCCATTTGACACATTGTTTACACATTGTTCAGTCTCATTCCCGTACAACTTTGTCTTATTGACACCTTCACCAATATTTGGTTCCAGGTGCCACTGCCTCTCAAGTTCCATTTCCAAAACATCATCAATCACATAAAGATCTTAACTAACTGCCTGCAACTAGATGGAGAATATAACAACTGTGCCCCTTCATATCCCTGCAGCTTACGTGCATACACTGCCACTATCGTTCACAGAGTGCGAGGGAAGCGTGACCTGCTGATGTTACATGGCACTAGAAAACTCATGGCACCTACAGCCTCACAAAGAGGCTCGTCTGAAAGTATTTGATGATCTCTTTAAACAGAGATTTTGTGTGCAGGAGAGGATATTGTTCCCGGTGCTCAATGCATGCTTAGCTCCGTCAGTTTAAGGAAGGACAGAAGCTACAGCACTGAGGTCAGAAATAGCAGGAACACAGGAGCAAGAGTAGGCCACTCAGCCCCTCGAGCCTGCTCCACTATTCAATGATCCCATGGCTAATCTGTGGCCTAACTCCATCTGCCTGCCTTTGGCCCACGTCCCTTAATATCTTCGTTGAACAAAATCTGGGGTCCAGGCTGACTGGTATCGCAAACTGCAGGTATCCCACACATATTCTGTTAAGAACCACATTCACACCCTCACCAAGACAGGACCCACAGCACTGAGAAGAAGGGAAATTTGTGGCTGAAGAGTGGACAATTTCCAACAAGGCAGAACATTATTGTCATGATGGATTAATGATCTAAATTTGAGTGTGAGTAAAATGCTATTATTAATACCAGCCCCCTTTCTATATCCACAGGCTCAACACCATTGATATTCCACTATTGATTTGCTAACAACATGTTGGGAGCTGGGAAGCAGGTAGCTTGTGTGTTTGGAGTTACTGATTAAAGGCAGTTTGTTTTCAATAACATAGCATCTGATCCAATGGGCAGAGGAATGTCTATACTTGGTAGAAGGGCTGTACCTACAATGTGTCAGGTAGAATGTACGTTTCAATATTCTCTAACCAATCAGCACTGTGTGTGTCACTGAGTCTTTACTAATCTAGTTAGCGTAGAAGTCACCCTCAGGATCATGTGGTGGTGTTACCTTTGGCTGAAGAAACAAAAAAAGTTCAGTATCTGTCCTGTTACATCACCTGGAAGTGACACAGAACATGATTACAAGGTTGAAAGATGTTCTTTGGTCTACCAGAAGCTTTCTAGTCTTCCAGATCAAGGAGCTGACCCTGACCAAATGCTGCAGACTGGCACATTCCAAAGTCCAGGACTATGTACTGAGGGTCACACTAAAGCTTGGGGCAACTGCTGCCAAGGGGTAGTAGGGAAAGACCATTGTCTGAGGTGTTTCTGCTGAACTTAAATGGGGGTCCGTTCAGTGATCAAACCCTCCCAATGCCTCAAATGCTTGTAAATATAATCTGATTCAAATAAGAGAGGCCTTTGATTTGTTTAGATAGAGTCAAACTCCAATGGTTGACTGTCTCCTTGATATGCTACTGCCTGACTTTATATATAGAGACATATATAAAGACTTTTTTTATGAATAAAATATATTTTGAAATAAAAAATACAAAACAAAGTTGTAAAATGCTTTGTGTTCAGAAATACTCACCCTGCATGCCATGAACTGGCCCAGACTGTCAGGGAAGGTGATAGATGCCAATAGTAAGGTGACAAGTCCAGAGTACACTGCCTTCCTATTGATAGGACATTATTCAGATATTAGCTCATGTCTTATTCGTTAATCCAAAAAGATTTGAACATTTATAATGATATATTAGCTCACCCAAACACCCAATTCAGTCACTTTCCTGAGAATGGTACAAGTTAAAAGAAAGGAATAAATGATCTGTCAGTGAACTATTTTTCACAGTATGTTGTTGCATGTTAATGAACATATTAACATCATTGTATTGTTAATTAATGAACATTTTACTCTCACTACATCTGCCAATTAGCCAACACTGAAAGACAACAGACTGTTTCTCACCATAGATTTGGTTGGAACCATTTCAAGTTTCAATGTAATACAAATAACTCAGTATAATGTTCCAGCTGAGCCAGCACAGAAATCCAATGAATTCTCTTACTTCTTAGAGTCATAGAGACACACAGCATCGAAATAGGTCCTTCAGTCCAACTTGTCCATGCTGACCAGATATCCTAAATCAATCTAGTTCCATTTGCCAGCATTTGGCACATATCCCTCTAAACCCTTTCTGCTCATATACCCATCCAGACACTTTTTAAATGTTGTAATTGTACCAGCCCCCACCACTTCCTCTGGCAGCTCATCCCATACATGCACCACCCTCTGCGTGAGTTGCCCTTTAGGTCCCTTTTAAATCTTTCCCCTCTCACTTTAAACTTATGCCTTCTAGTTTTGGACCCCCCTACCTTGGGGAAAAGATCTTGTTTATTCACCTTATCCATGCCCTTCATGCTTTTATAAACCTCTATAAGGTCACTCCTCAGCCTCCGACGTTCCAGGGAAAATAGCCCCAACCTATTCAGCCTCTCCCTGTAACTCAAACCCTCCAACCTGGCAACATCGTTGTGAATCTTTTCTGAACCCTTTCAAGTTTCACAACACCTTTCCTATAGCAGGGAGACCAGAACTGAATGCAGTATTCCAAAATGGCCAAACCAATGTCCTTCACAGCTACAACATAACCTCCCAATTCCTATACTCAATGCACTGACCAATAACGACAAGCATACCAAATACTTTCTTCACTATCCTGTTTACCTGCCACTCCACTTTCAAGGAACTATGAATCTTCACTCCAAGGTCTCTTTCTTTGGCAACACTCCCCAGGATCTTACTATTAAGTGTATAAGCCCTGCCCTGATTTGCCTTACCAAAATGCAGCACCTCATATTTATCTAAATCAAACTCCATCTGCCACTCTTCAGTCCACCGGCCCATTTAATCAAGGTCGCATTGTACTCTGAGGCAACATTTTTAGCTGTCCCCTACACCACCAATTTTGGTGTCATCTGCAAACTTACTAACCACACCTCCTACGTTTACATCCAGATCATTTATATAAATAACAAAAAGTTCTTCAACACTGCAGAACCTACGCATGTAATTTATACTGGTAGAGGTTGGGAATTTATTTGTCATGTTCCCCATGCTCTGTGTGCTGTAATGTATCAATCCATTGTTAATTTCACTCCAAAATAATTGGAAAGAAATTAATAGGATCTTATTGAAACTATAAATATTTTGCTGCTTTATTTCATCAATTAACTTAATAAATGTGTTTTTTTTTGAAAAAGCTAATACCTATCTTACATCTATGTGAATCAAACAAAATTAATATGAAGATGGGGTGGCACGGTGGCTCAGTGGTTAGCACTGCTGCCTCACATCACCAGGGACCTGGGTTTGATCCCAGCCTCGGGCAACTCTCTATGCAGAGTTTGCACATTGTCTGCATGGGCTTCCTCTGGGTGCTCTGGTTTCTTCACACAGTCCAAAGATGTGCAGGCTAGGTGGTTGGCCATGGGAAATTGCCCATAGTGTTCAGGGATGTGTAGACTAGGTGAGTTATAGGGGGATGGGTCTGGGTGGGATACTCTGAGGTTTGGTGTGGACTTGTTGGGCCAAAGGGCCTGTTTCCACACTGTTGGGATTCAATAGGGAAAGATGATTTACAAAACAACACTGTTGCTGGTTTTTTGCACTTGTGACCTCTGTGCTGTGCAGGAGTTGTATGATGCCGCAGGAGCAGGGATCTCTTCTGTGCTGAATGATTGGCTCAATGAGTAGTAGGCATGAGTGCTCTGACCTATTCTGTCTTTTGGCCTTGGCTGTGATCTTATGGATCAGTGGCGTGCATCTTGGACAATGAACTGTTAGTCTGTGGACCACACCTTGAAAGCCACTGATCAAAAACAGAGCAACATTGAACATACACATGACCTTGCTTAAGTTGTAACTGAAATACCTGGGGTACAGTTTTGGAAAGCACACTATAAGAAAGAATAGAAACTATGCTGCTTTAATTCAACAGGATGTAGCCACAGGATAAAGGATTACAAATTAGGGCATGAGACTCAAGAAATTAGTACATTTTTATTGGAGCTCAGAACATTAAGAAGTGATTATTAGAAGCTTTAAAGGTTATAAGAGGGTAAATAGTGATAGATTCTTTCCACTGATTGAATATCTAACAAGAGAAAACATAAAATATTCACAGAAATCAATAGAGATGGCTTAGACATTTTTATATGCAGAAGGTGATTAAAATGTAAAATTCTCTGCTACATACAATGCTAAAGCAGCATTTATAGTTTCTGTTATAAGGGTCTCAGGGGATTGCTTGAAAAGGAAGAACACAAGGAGAATGAAGCGTTGCTATGGAGAAAGCAATGGGTTATAGACTTGGCCAGACTTTACCAGCCAACCAATTGGCACTCTTATCTCTTGTACAAATTGTTATGATCATTTGAAGTTTGATGTTCATGCATTTGTCCATTTGGTTGCAAGACAAAAAGACTTGGCTATGTGTCTCTATTTTCAACTATGTTCAACTTCTGTTGTACCAAGCAGCAGTTTGTGAAAATAATATTGCAATCTTACTCTGCTGCCACAAGTTTCAGGATGAAAGCATTTCTCCTGATGTATGCTACCACCGAGCGCTGACAGCACAGGTAGATGCAACTCAGTATCCCACAGATAATCCTGTTAAGGGAATAAAGACAATAATAAAATGAGCAGATAAACTAAGCAGAGAAAGCAATATCAAATAAGAGCAGGAAATGCTGGAGAAACTCAACAGGTCTTGCAGCATCTGTGGAGAGAGAAACAGAGTTAATGTTTTCAGTCCAAAGACACTTCTTTTCCTTCAGATCAGTGTGGACTGTTCCAAAGAAGGGCCACTGAACTCAAAACATTAACTCTGTTTCTCTCTCCACACATGCTGCAAGACCTGCTGAGTTTCTCCAGCATTCTCTTGTCTTATTTCAGATTTCTAGCACCTGCAGTGTTTTTCTTTCTATTTAAAGTGAAAGTAATATTTCAGATCTGAAAATGGTGCCAGGCATTTTCATTCAGATAGCATGCCAGTTCCAGGAACCTACTTCAGTATTACTTTCTGTGAATGTGAAGAATTTCCAAAGTGGTTACATTCTTGTTGGGGCCTAACACGCTATCAGTAACACTGTCACCTCAGTGCGCTTTGCTCAGTACTTCAAGGGCCTGATATTGTCAGTACAATACTTGAACAAGCTACAGCCATCTCAGTGTTAAACTGTCACTATCTCAACGTGCCATTCTTATTCAGCAAACAATTTTGACAGTACTTGACTTTGTTCTTTCCCGAACTGTGTGGGATGCTGTCTGAAACTGATACTAACACTCCTGGCCCAAGTACAAGTCTGTCAGTCATTACCTGCCCTGAGTTGGAAACAGCAAAATCTTTATTTCCAGCACTATTGCACTTCACCTTGAAAAGCTGATATTGACCCAACAAATCAGAATAAGCCCAAACAACAAAAGAAAAAAGAGCAGTTATGGGATGTTGAGGTCTCTTATTTGCAACATCAAAGTCAGTGATTCAGAAGTGTTCTTCCATGTTTACTGCAGACATATTTGTCATTTTGTTTTGTTTACACTGGAAGAAGAATGCTCAGTAATGTTATGTGCACGTGACAAAATAATGTTTCCAACACATTTTAACGGCATTATCCTCCATTTGCAAAGTTGTCACAAATCTAATCATAAAAGTGAAGTGGCCTGAAGCAAGTATGAAAATAGTGAATGATTTAATTTCTCAGGGTCTAGTGCAGCTTTTTAAAAGCATTCATTTTTAATTTATTTTCCGTCCAATGCTCAATATTGCTCAATGTTAACAATATGCTTTCCTGTGCCATTGGAATAAATGGCACTCCTAGGTCCCCATATAACACTATATGATGAATGCTATCCTGAGTAATGTGTGTGATAGCTTGTGTTCCATAACAGAAGCTGTGGCTGCCGTTGGTTCCATCGCCATCACACCTTTTAGATAGACAACAGATAAAGCTTCAAAGACTCCTCACCCCAAGATGATAAAGATTAATGTTTCAGGTAAATCAAACGGGAAGTCAACTGGGAATTTTGTCTTGAAAAGAGCAATGATAGTTTCTGCAAGAAAAAGAAAGTAAGGTAAAAACATTAGGAGTACATCTGAAAGCAAAAAAACTGGAGTAGGCAGTAATCCGATCTGCTTTCCATGTAGCTGGGAGGCTTGGATTTATGATTCTCCTTCTCTCCAATTTTCCTAATTTCTTCCCTTTCTGCCAAGGCTGATACTTTCACAGAGACAATTCAACAGGCACTGGTACATCATCGAAGTGGATATTATTCATAGAGTCATACAGCACAGAAACAGAGCCTTTGGTGCAACCAGTCCATGCTGACCATGTTTCCAAATTAAACTAGTCCCACCTGCCTACATGCAGCCCATATCCCTTCAAACCTTTTCTATTCATGTACTGATCCAAATGTCATTTGAATGTTGTAACTGTGCCTGCATCCACCACTTTCTCTGGCAGTTCATTCCACACACGAAGCACCCTCTGTGTAAAAATCATTGCCCCTCCTGTCCTTTTTAAATCTTTCTCGTCTCAACTTAAAAATATATTCCCAAGTTTTGAACTACCCCATCGAGGGGAAAGCCCCTTGTCATTTACCTTATCTATGCCCCTCATGATTTTAAAGTCTCAATAATGCCACCCCCTAACCTTCTAAGATCCAGTGAAAAGGTTCCAATTCTTCCAGTCTATTTTTATATCAAAACTCTCCATTCCTGGCAACATCCTGATAAATCTTTTCTGAACCCTCTCCAGTTTAATAATATCCTTCGTATAACAGGGAGACCAGGACCGGACACAATACTCCAGAAGAGGCCTCACCAATGTCCTGTACAACCTCAACGTGACATCCCAACTCCTATACTCAAAGGTCTGAGCAACGAAGGCAAGTGTGCTAAATGCCTTCTTAACCACCCTGTCTACTGTGATGTAAATTTCAAAGAATTATATACCTGAACTTCTACATCACTCTGTTCTATAGCACTACCCAGGGCTCTGCCATTAATTGCATAAGTCCTGTTCATGTTTCTTGTATCAAAATGCAATGCCTTCCATTTATCCAAACTGAACTCCACCTGCCATTCCTCGGCCCATTGACCCAATTGATCACGATCTCTTTGTAATCTTTCTTTAGTGTGCACTATACCACCAATTCAGGTGTCATCTGAAAACTTCCTAACTATGCCTCCTATATTCTCATCCAAATAATTTATGTAAATGACAAACAAAAGTGGACCCAATACCGATCCCTGTGGAACATGCTGATCACTGGCCTCCAGTCCAAAAAACAACCCTCCACCACCACCATCTATCTCCTGCCATAAAGCCAATTTTACATCCAATTGGCAAGCTCACCCTAAATCCCATGTGATCTAACTTTACCATGCGGAACCTTGTCAAAGACTTTACTAAAGTCCAAATAAACAATGTCTGCTGCTCTGCCATCATCAATCTTTTTGGTTACTTTATTAAAAAACTCAATCAAGTTTGTGCGACATGATATTTCTTACACACACTATGCTGACTATCCCTAATCAATCCTTGTCTCTCCAAATGCATGTAAATCCTAACTTTCAGAATCACCTCCAAAAGCTTACCCACCACTGATGTCAGACTCACAGGTCTATAGTTTGCAGGCTTCTCCTTACAGCCTTTCTTAAACAATGACACAACATTAAGCACCCTCCAGTCCTCCGGTATTTCACCTGTGTTTATAGATGATACAAACATTTCTGCTAGAGGCCCTGCAATTTCCTCCCTAATTTCCCACAGCATCCTGAAATACGCCTACTCAGGTCCTGGAGATTTATCTACCTTTATGTTTTCTAAGACCTCCAGCACTTCCTCTTCTGTAATGTGAACTGTTTTCAAAACATCAATATTTCGTTCCCCCGAGTTCTCTAGCCTCCGTTTCTTTCTTCACAGTAAAAACTGACACAAAATACTCATTTAATATCTCTCCCATCTCCTGAGGTTCAACACAAAGATGACCTCATTGAGCCCTAAGGGGCCCTACTCTCTCTCTAGTTGCTCCCTTGCTCTTAATGTACTTGTAGAATCTTTTTCGATTATCTTTAACATTATCTGCCAAGGCTATTCACAATGTAAACATTGGCAGTGAGTGTTGGCAGTTGTTTTAAAAAAACTGTAAAGGACACCATAGTCAAACTAATTGTGCCATCACTTAGTAATTTAGGAATAATAATCCAAAGTTGAAACCCAGCCTTGTGGTTTTCTGTCTCTTGGTCAGTCTGTCAGTATACCTTTAAGAGACTCTCTGTCAGTAAGAACTCATTGGATTTAATATTGTCAGTGGACAATGTTTTGGGAGAAATATAGCAGGGATGACTGATCCACTGTCATCAGTAAAAGTCAAAATTTGCCTTGCTACCTGAAGAATGTGTTTCTTAATCTCTTCATGGGATGTGGATGCTCCAGGCTAATACAGTGTTACACCTGTATCACTTTGGAGAAATGTGTCAGTCTTGTCTCCCTTGCAGACTGAAGTGTTTCGAATTCTGAGACCATCATGCTTTTCAGAATCAACTTGTCACCGCCAATTTGGCAAACTACAGAAATCAAGCGGACGCTTCGTAAAGATTTGCGCCAGTACGTGGCCATTTCACCTTGTTCACTGTTGAACACAGCAAGAAGTCGGAACATGAATGCGCCACAGGTAGCGGCAAAGAAGCCTCGCCAATAGTTACGCACTGCAAAATGAGAGGACATCACCTCCACACTGAACAGGACACCTAAGGAAAACAGGCACAGATCACATTTCAATGCAGAGATCTCAGGATAGCAGTGGTTCATGCCCCACACTGCTACTCAGCAAGAATCAGTAACAGTAACCTTGTCATTATCAAAACGCCTAGGCTGCTGATTGACATTTATACTTCAAACATTATGGGGACCGATTTTCATCCAGTGAATGAGTTAAACCTCAGCAATGCCCTCCCACCCCCAAAAAAATAGTCTAGATAAAGGCCACATATATTGCTGACATTTCTTGATTCTTTCATCCCTGGAATTAGATGAGTAGAGCTACAGTTACCAGCTAACAGAAACGCTATGATCCAACAGCTAATAATAAGTTTGTCTTTCCATTTGCTCCGATTTCCACGTGTGGCTACCCGTGGAAATTGGTGTACGAGCCCAGACAGTGAACAGGAGGAGCTGTCAGCTACACAGGACGTTGTCTTAGATACTCTCTCACCTCCAGCAGAGGGGGGTTACTGACTGGGAGCTCAGTTGGCTGGATGGCTCGCTTGCATTGCAGAGTCATACCATCAGCGTGGGTTTGAGTGGGACACCACGGTGACTCAGCGGTTAACACTACTGCCTCACCGCGCCAAGGATCCTGAGTTCAGTTCCAGCCTCACTGTCTGCGTGGGGTTTGCATGCTCTCCATATGCCTGCGTCAGGTTTACCCCAGATGTTCTAGTTTCCTCCCACGGTCGAAGGATGTGCAGGTTAGGTGGATTGGCCAGGGGAAATGCAGGGTTATAGGGATAGGGCGCGGTGGGAGGTGGGTCGGGCTGGGATGCTCTTCAGAGGGTCAGTGTCGACTCAATGGGCCGAATGGCCTGCTTCCACACTGCCGGGGTTCTATGAATTCCTGCACGGGCTGAGGTTACCATGAAGGAATCTCCTTCACAGCTCTCCCCTTGCTTGAGGTGTGGTGATCCTCAGGTTAAACTATCACCAGTTGTCTCTGTCCCTAACGAGAGAGCAGGATCATGGTGACTTTTAAACATAACATCTTGTGCTCAGCAGCATGCCTCGACACAATGTTAGAACTCAATGCGTAACAAAGGATTCTCCTTGTGAACTGAACACAGTTTTCATATCTCTACAGATGAGATTTTCCAAAGCTCATGAAGAAAAACCGAGAAAAACAAAGACTGCAGATTTAAAATGATTAAACTGCTTTATTTTACAATGAGTGACAATACAAAGCAACTTAAAACTGGAGTCCCTAATTTCCATCAGTACATGTGTCCTTTCACTGTAATACAAAGTAACAAATGTGCTACAATTCTCTACTTCAATAATTTGCTTTGTGTGACTGAGGCAAAAAAGTTCCTGACTAGTTGTTTCATTCTCCCTCCAACCTTGACAAAAGCCGAAACTGTTTCATAAAGGGACTTACTCCCCTACTTCTGCTGGGTCTAAAACATTGCCTGCAGAGCTTGGATTGAATTCAAACCTCAGATGGTTTCAGTTGGGCAGGGACAGAATAAGTAAAACAGAAATGTACTCGCAGTCCTATGGTTGAGAGTGAGGGTATTTTAACCAAAGGTACGGGCAGTCCGCAACACCGTCAAAATGAATAAAAATGGCAGCTGGATGGAGCCAGGGATGCCATGATTTTCTTGTAGATTTAATAGAAGCACTTTTCCCTCTGTCATAGTAGCTTTTCTGCTCAGGCCTAAGTTAAAATCCAGTGTTTAAAACCAATAATATACTCTGTATTTTGAACCAGAATTGTTATATGGATGAGAGACTTTAGTTATATGGCTCAGGTGGAGAAATTGTTTTCACTTCCTTGGAACAAATTAGTGGGTGGGGTGAGATTTGATAAATATATTCAAGATTATGAGGAGATTAAATGTGGTAGGGAAATGTAAGGTGATGATGAGAACTTGGGGGTAGATGGTTATAGTTTTGGGCAAGAGATTGAGTAAGGAAATGAGAAAGTACTTTTTTTGCATCAACAAGTGGTAGTGGTGTTGCATCCTCAGTCTATGGGATGGGGTAGAAATCAATGACTTAAAAAGGAAATTGGTTGCGAACATGAGGGAAATAAACTTGCAGAGTTACAGGAATAGATTGAGGTAATGAGACTGACTGGGTTGTATGGAGGTGATGGCCTAATAGCCTCCACCTGCACTATAAATCAGATCAGATTTTTGCCAAATTAAGTTTATCCTGGAGATTTTGAAAAGTGGCCTGTGGGATGCAATTCTATCCCGACCCCCATTTGCAACTTTCCCCATGCTGGAAGATACTGTTCAGCCTGAAAATGGTCAGAATGGTAAAGAATGACAGGATCCAATGGTGAGGAGAGATCGGGAAGAGTCAGCAGAGATGTGTAACGATTTCAAAGAACGAGCAAGAAATGAGAGAGCGAGGGGAGGATGCGCAGAAGTTCTCCCAACCTTGTGCTGTAACACCAGCAGAATAATTTGCAGAAACTGACGACTGGTTTTCCAGTTTGCACAGCTTTATGGTGGGCAAATGGGAGACACATCCTTCCTTGAGGAATGAAATTTGTACCTAGGAGCTCCTCAAAAGGCAGCAATTCTCATGTCAAAAGGTAGCATCAACTCAAGCCAACTCATCAGAGTTAGCCACAACATGATTAATACAGAGATAACAAAAGAATAAACTGCCTTTTGGTACAATGTACCTTTTCCTTTTTAATTTGTGGATACTCTTATGCCATGAATGACACCTTGCATGTCCTCCACCAGCAGGGTTACCTTTTTTTAATCTGCTTTAATGCAGAGACCAGTTTCTGACCAGATTCTTACCACTGATGGGTGCACCAAAGCAACTTGCAACTCCTACTGCTGCTGCCGCCACCAGCATCTCATACCGTTTGTTCTTATTCTGCAGAAAAGGAACATATCACAGGCTGGATGAGCTTGGCTCTTGGAAACGCAGTTATTTATGAGATGACACGAGTTGACTTGAAATCACACAGAGAATCACATGACCTGAGTTAAAATAGAGTCTTAGAGCTTGAAACCCTCAGGTCCCGTGCTAGGATAGATTGATGATAACTTGGGTATGTCTCTTAAACGTAATACTTAAGGTCTCACTGACGGTGAGACAAGACATGACAGTCTCTGCTACAAAGGTTTAATTTGGAAAAAGGTCATTTTCTAATGCCCTTCTACAATAATACAGGAAACTGTATAAAAGCCCTCGAGGTGTATGTTTGACATGAAATGAATACTGTAAGTATTAACTGGAACTGGTAGTGTCAATATGTCATGTAAAATATTGGAAGAAACTGATTTGGTATACACTTTATCCAATGTCAATTTGAATGGTTATGTAGCTTGCTTATTGAATTTGTATGAATTAAGTACATTCTTGCAACAGATCAAGTCCCACTCGATCCTCACCCAGCGCACATATGAACACGCTTTCCATGAGCATTGCTGGTCTGAAAACAACAGTAGGAATCCAGGCTGACTTTATCCAGAAGTCGCTGAGACCAATTATATTGACTCCGTTAGCACTCCAGAGAGATCAGCTAACAGACAAGAGATCAATCCTTCTTGGTTTACATGGCTCACAGGGATTCCCATTGATAGTCAGAGAGAGATTGTGCTCTACAACTTACTGAACAAAATAATCCAGGTTTCCTCATGGTGTCCTCAGACTGGCGCAGAGCAGCAATCACATGATTTGGTTTAATGATTTGTAAATTTCTCTTCAATGCCCCTGCTTACCTCATAATCTCTGGTAACTGTGGTTCGAATTCTTCCCAAATAAGTGGCAATCATGCTGGAGATGTGGACAAAGGGACCCTGGGGTTCAGGCAAGAAAATTTGTTTAATAACTTCCCTCTTTCTCATTCGATCTTCTGTTTGCCACTAATTCTTTTTACCCAAGAACATCCATATGCCCAAGCTCCAAGTGTTAATGATGAGCACTACCTCCTTGAGGTCTTCAGCACCATCCCCAACATCTGTTTCTTCATCCTTTCATGATTTCTCTCCATTCTTGATTCTGCATGCCTCTGGCTGTCCTTTCTCCTCACATCTCTATAGTCCCTTTTACTGTTAGACTCTTCCCATCTCTCTTATGTCACCCAGCTAAGCCTTAACTCACCACTTTTCCCAAGAATATTGTACTTCCTGCAGCCAGTGAACATGTCAAACCGACCACTTTTGCACCAAAATTTTTCATCGTCAGATACTCTTCCAAAAGTACTCCAGTCAGAATAGTCTTCAGTTCTGGAATGCCTGAACCTAAATGCGAAGAACAAAAGTCCATTTTTGAAACATTACAAAGAGAAACAGTCGATCTGAAAGTCCTGGCACAGATAATACGAATGGAGGTTGTGAATGGGGTGGCACAGTGGCTCAGTGGTTAGCATTGCTGCCTCACAGCACCACAAACCTGGGTTCGATTCCACCCTCGGACGACTGTCTGTGTGGAGTTTGCACATTCTCCCCATGTCTGCATGGTTCCTCTGGTTTCCTCCCACAGGCCAAAGATGTGTAGGTTAGGTGGATTGGCTGTGCTAAATTGCCCATAATGTTCAGGGATGTGTAAATTAGGTGAGTGATAGAGGGGATGGGTCTGGGTGGGATGCTCTGAGGGTCAGTGTGGACTTGTTGGGCTGAAGGGCCTGTTTCCACACTGTAGGGATTCTGTGAGATATTTGGAGACCTAAACCATCTTTTAATCGAATATCAATTAATTGCTCCATCCTTGGTGACTGCACCTTCAGCTCCTAAGCCTAACGTTCTGGAATTCCACACCTCACACCTGACTGCCTGTCTCGCTCACTTTCTCTGGATAATGAAATTTCTCCTCATTTCAGTCCTAAATGGCCTACCTCATACCCTTAGACTATGTCATCCCTGGTTCACAGACATTGGGAATATCCTTCCTGCATTTACCCTGCCTAGTCTTGTAAGAACTTTATAGGTTATTAGTATAACCGTCCTCATTCTCCTACACTCCAGGGAATATAGTCTTCGTATCTCAGTCATGTCACATCTCTTCCAGCTATGCCCACCTTGAAGAACTTCTGCTCCTCTCTCTGACATGATTTCTGCTCTAATCTTTCTTCCTGTTCCACCTGTCTGTTCACTCCTTTCCTCCACCCCACCCAACTATGCACATTCTCCCCATGTCTGCGTGGGTTTCCTCCGGGTGCTCCAGTTTCCTCTCACAGTCCAAAGATGTGCAGGTAGGTGGATTGGCCACGCTAAATTGCCCAAAGTGTCCAGTGATGTTTAAGTTATTTGGGTTAGACATGAGGAAATGCAGAGGTAAGGGAATGAGTCAGGGTGGGATGTCTTCGGAGGGGCGTTGTGGACTTGTTGGGCCGAATGGCCTGTTTCCACACTGTAGGGATTCTATGATTCTTACCCTCTATTGCTCCATTAAAAAAAACTCTTTGAATGGCTTTGCATTATATTTTGTTTGATGATATTCTTGCATGATGTCTTGGGATGTTTTATTTTGACAAAAGGGTTCTACAAATATAATTTGTTGCTGTGCTCTGTCTCTTTGAATCTTCTTGTTTCATTCTGAATCTCTTTAATCAACCTTTGCCCCGGCACTGAAATGCTAACAGGCCGTAGCACTGAAATGTTAACAGGCCCTAAATAAATTTGCGAATGATATCCTCTGTGACTGTGGCTGTGATACACCAACTCCTCTGTTGTTTATAGCAAAAATTCCTGACAGGACAGGCCCTTACCTTTGTGAAAATTACATGACATTGAGGTATAAAGTTCCGATACAAAGGTAGCCTCCTCACCTTCAGACATTCTCTCAGCCACAGTGGAGTCAATGTGGTTAGTCAATCAGTTAATAGACAGTAACACCAGTAAACAGAGAACCTACAGTACGTGTATGAGTCTCTGGTATCATAGCCTTGTAAATAGTTAGCACTGCAAATTGTAGTGATTAGAATGAGGGCCAAGTGGATCCATTGACTATGAGATCCTTGATTAGGGTTATTAACCTGGGCCAATCGGGGAGCTCTGGATGACAGATATAAACAGGGGTCTCAGACAGTCTCCTCATTTTAGGGACTGGCTCTGAGCTAGCTGGTTGGAGTCTGTGTGCTATGCACATGCAAATAATGGGTGACTTGGCGACGGTATGTCGCCTTCTGCACAATTATTTCACAAATAAGCTTCAAGTATCTAACTCATGAAAACCTGGCTCTGTGTTATATGGTATGTGGACTAACATAAAGTAAAGCAAACTTCATCATCCTCTCCAAAATATTTATAGTTTTGACCAAACTTTCTCCTTCCAACATCTCTCCTTTGGTTTTCTCCTCCAAAAGAGACACTGAGGTCCATTAAGATAAAACAAAGAACTGTGGATGCTGGAAATCTGAAACAAGTACAAAAATTACTGGAGAAACTCAGCAGGTCTGACAGTATCTGTGGAAAGGAAAACAGAGTTAGCGTTTCGAGGCCAGTGACCCTTCATTAGAACTGGACTCGAATCATTAACTATATGCTTCTCTCTACAGAAGCTGCCAGACCTGCTGAGTTTCTCCAGCAATTTCTGTATCCCATTGCTTTGCTTCTATAGTTACCCCAGCTGAGATTGTCCACTTCAGCATCTAGCAGAGAACAAAGTAAAGGAACTTACAGACTCAGAGCTGTGGTCACTTGTGAAAGGATATTGATGGTCTCATTTCTCATAGAATTATATGGAAGTTGCAAGAATTTATTTTAATCCAGTACTGTTGCACCATCTTACCATTTGTCATTGCTGGGGTTTGGAGGGCTTAAATCATCCTAGAATGCCTACAGTGTGGAAACAGGCCCTTCGGCCCAACAAGTCCACACCAAACCGCAAAGCATCCCACCCAGACCCACCCCACTATAACCCACCTAATCTACACAGCCCTGAATTTAGCATGGCTAATCCACCTAGCGTGCACATCTTTGGACTGTGGGAGGAAGCCGGAGCACCCAGAGGAAACCCACACAGACACGGGGAGAATGTGCAAACTCCACACAGACAGTCACCTGAAGGTGGAATTGAACCCGGGTCCCTGGCGCTGTGAGGCAGCAGTGCTAACCACTGAGCCACCGTTATAGGAAGAGACTGAATAGGCTGGAGTTATTTTCCCTGGAATGTCGGAGGCTGAGCAGTGACCTTATAGAGGTGTATAAAATTATGAGGAGCATAGATAGGGTGAATAGCCAAGGTTTTTCTCCCCAGAGTAGGGGAGTCAAAAATGAGAGGGCATCGGTTTAAGGTGCGAGGGGGAAGGGAAGATTTGAAAGGAACCCAAGATACAACTTTTTCTGGCAGACTGTGGTGTGTGTATGAAGATGAGCTGCCAAAGCACGTGGTGGAGGCTGGTACAATTACAACATTTAAAAGGCGTCTGGAAGGGTATATGAATTGTACGGGCTCAGAGGGATAGGGGCCAAATGCTGGTAAATGGGACTAGATTAATTTAGGATATCTGGTCAGCACGGACAAGTTGGACTGGAGGCTCTGTTTCCGTGCAGTACAACTCTGTGACTTTGTGATTCTATGTATGAGAAATGCAGAAGGAAAAGTTGATGAAAAACTCATGTTGTCTTAGAAATGCTTCCTTATGTTACAACAGCAGTAACACTTTACCAATAGACATTGGCTTTGAGATATCCTGAAGTCATGAAAGACATGATATAAATTTATTGCAAGTTATTTTATTATTTTCTTCTATAATAAAATGTATTGTTTTGTTTAGTTTAGTTTTAAATGTTCAATGCTGCCTGTTAATTCTACTTCGTAATTCCTGACTGCACAACGAACTTGTTGCAGTAATGCATGAAGTCAATTGGGGGCACTCTATTCACATAGCACTGCACTTCATAAGCCAAGTAACATTGAAAAGGTTGCAGTGTGTCCAACATTATAGCCAGTCAAGACAAGCAATACATTGAACTGAGTACATCAGTATTGTAACTCCTGCAGCACATCAGTGATATAACCAGTGACTGGCAGTGTGCTAAAAAAACATTTTTCCAAACATTCAGTATTAAATGGTAAGACATCCATCGCTGTCAGGAAATTGGTTGAGGGTGTAGAAATATAGACATAGAAATTAGGAACCTTCGGCCCATTGAGCCTGCTCCATCATTCAATATGATCACGGCTGATCATTCAACTCAGTATACTCTTCGTGCTTTCACCCCATACCCTTTGACCCTAAGAATTAGAATCTCCTTTTGAAAACATTCAATGTTTTGGCCTCAATTGCTTTCTGAGGCAGAGAATTCCACAGCTCACAACTCTCTGGATGAAGAAATTTCTCCTCATCTCAGTCCTAAATGACATATCCCATATCCTTAGACTAGGACCCCTGGTTCTGGATTCCCTAGTCATCAAGAATATCTTTCCTGCGTTTACCTTGTCTAGTACTGTAAGAATTTTTATGTCTTTCTGTTGGATCCCTCCTCATTCACTCCTGTGAATAAAGTCTGAACAAATTCAATCTCTCTTCATATGTCAGTCCTGCCACCTCTTTTCCAGGTTTATCCACTTTAAAGAAGTTCTATTCCAGTCTCTGATCGGATTTCAGGCCTAATCTTTCTTCTTGTTCCACCTATCCACTCACTCCTTCTCCACTCAACCTCTATTATCTCATTAAGACTACCTTTTCCTAGAAAATATCAGTTCTAAAGAAGGGTCAGTGGATCTGAAACGTTAACTCTGCTTTGTCCCCACAGATGCTGAGTTTCTCTAGCAATTTCTGTTTGTTTGCTTCTGCCATTCCAGGAATCAGTCTTGTAAACCTTTGTTGCGCTCCATCCATAACCAGAACATCACTCCTCAGATAAGGAGACCAAAACTGCACACTATACTCCTGATGTAATCTCACCAAATTCCTGTACAATTGCATCAAGACATCCCTTCCCCTGTACTTAAATCCTCTTGCTCTGAGGCCTACATACCATTTGCCTTCTCCACTACCTGCTGCACCCACAGGTTTACTTTCAGTGACTGGTGAACAAGGACACCCAGATCTCATCACACCTCTCTGTTTCCCAATCTATCACCATTCCGATAATAATCTGCCTTCCTGTTTCTGATATCAAAATGGATAACCTCACGTGTATCCACTTTATAATGCCATGCATTTACCCACTCACTCAACTTGTCCAAATCACATTGCAACAGCTCTGCATTCTCTTCACAGCTCACACTCCGACCCAGCTTTGTGTCATCCGCAAACTTGAAGATATTACATTTCATTTCCTCATCTACATCATGTATTGTCATTGTTGAATTCTATCTTCACCCAATTTTCAAAGTGGAATTCTACCATTACAAAAATAACATGCATTTGTGCAGTGCCTTTAATGCTGAAAAAGTCCCATGTTACCGTACTGAGGGGGAGAGGAAAACAAATAACATTAAAGCAAGAGAAGTCAAGTGCAAATGACTGGAAGTTTGGTCAAGAAGTTGGTTCTTTAAATTTTTTTTAAAGCAGAGACAGAAGAGGAGAGGCAGTGGGTTTAGGGAGGGAGGTTAAGTTTAAATGAGTGTGGCAAAAAGTCCATGCTGGAAAATTGAGAATTAAACCAGAGCTGAAGAATGTTGAAGATGTAAAAGTGGGGCAAGTTCACAAAAGGATTTGAAGATGAATGCAAAGAATTTAAATTTGATAAATTGATGGCCTTGGATAAAAATTAGGTTAGCACAGATTTGGATAATTGGTGCTTCATGCATTTTGAACCAGTTGGAACTCATGAAGGATTAGAGGACAACAAAGAGGGCTTTAGAGTAAGTGACATGGAGGTGATAACATTGTGCAGCACACATAGTGTTGCTGAGGTCAACATATGGAGTTTCAGGAATGGATTAGATATAAGGTTTAGAGCTAGATTCAGGGATAAGCAAAATACTGAGGTTGTATATGTCATTTATGGCTTCTAGTTACCAACCATTGGCAGCTTGTGGTTAGGGGACTTTGTTGCCAACAATCCTTCATTCTACTCTGAGTTTCAGGGCCTGTATAATTTATCAGTGGTAGTGGATGGACCACCGGTGAGCCTTAGCAAGAACAAGCACTTCTCTTTCACTACAAAAAGCAGTTTATTGCATACTAGTAAGAGGTACTGAAGCCTATCAGGAACTAGAGGTGACATATCTGTCCCCAGTGGGACCTTATTCTATACTGCCTGATTCTTCTTCCAAACATTCTGTGGCATCTTCGGATTGGGCGGAGCTCAATGCAATTTCAATATTAACTCCTTTAGAACCAAACTCTTACACAACAGTAAATATTTCACTTCAGCCTGAGCAGGTAGTCAGAGGGGAGGATGAAGTCAGTGGCAAGGGAGTGACATATGTGGCAGAGCTTTGAAGGGAAGTCTGATTAGTGTACAAATGGCCCATTACTGTGTCCTCTGACACCAATGTATTGTCAATGGTCAATCATCAACCATTGGCCCAGCAAAGATGTGCAATGATCAGATTGAGAATTGGATCAGGGAACCTACTGGTCCATACTTACTGACTTAGTAAGTTGGCCACAAAAGGAGATTTCGAGATGGTGGACAGGAGACAATTGTGGCTGTAAGAGCTGCTCCTTTCTTTGAGGTTTATTTCAGAGCTGGAGCTGACTTCTTCAATTTCATTGAGCAGTAGTTACTGTTTATTAAGCTGTTGCTTTGTTTTGAAACTTTGAAATAAAATCAAAACATCAGTTCTTTAAAACAGGAGCAAAGAGAGACAGCAGGAGTCTACATGGGAGACTGAAAAGGCTGGAAGTTCACAGCTGACTGAGCAGGCAGTGAACTTTCACAGCCGATTGCCTGCGCTGTGAAATTACAAGCATCTCTGGACACTGGAGTTCGGTCTAAGAGGTGGTGGAAGCTGGTACAATTACAACATTTGAAAAGCATTTGTTTGGGTGTATGAATAGAAAGAGTTTAGAGGGATATGGGCCAAATGCTGGCAAATGGGACTAGATTAATTTAAGATATCTGGTTGGCATGGACAAGTTGGACTAAAGGGTCTGTTTCCATGCTGTACATCTCTATGACTCTCTAAAAGGTCAAATTCATCCATCTGTACTTCCATTGGGTGCTGTGCTCAAATCAATACCACAGTATTTAGCACTATCAACTCCATGTCCATTGAACGCTGATACCAGCTGGAAACAGAGGAGCAATGAATTTACCTAATCTCTCAGTGGACCTTTGCTAATGACGTCTTCACTACACTGCATTTTTATCTAGTTTGAAACTCTAACTCTACTACTGGAATTTATGGATCGACTTTGAGTGACTAACTCTGCATTTCAGTTCACCTTGACGTGGGAACATTCTTCTCAGTAGATGAGATTAAGTCGTTGTATTTTGAGAAATGCCCATAGCGCTGATGGGAAATGGGATCATATAAATACTGTTTGCTCTATAAATACACTGCCAGTGGCAGACATACCTCCTGACTGTGGTGACACACACTGAGAGAAGCCGGTGGAGAATGTGGTCATTGCAATAGGATACACCGTCCAAGAGATGTATTGTAGGAGAGTGCTGCCTTCCATCTGCTCAAAGAGCCACCGATGAGCTGTGGAGACACACAAAGAATGTAAAACATCAAATCCACAATGAACTAAACAGGCTGGATCTGGATTCTTGTCAAATTCAATTTGGAAACGTGATCAAACTATTTTGTACTTGCTAAAATTGTTTCCACTGCTCATATCAAGGCATGGCAATATCTGATTTCAAACAGACAATTTGGAGAAATTACAGTTTGCTCAATTCCACTTAAATTATCTAATTGGTCTTATGGTCTAACTGAATCTGTTAAAACTAACTGCTGGTCAAAAACTGAGAGACTGTTGCAGCATTCAATTATTTCAGGAAATACCAAGCAGTAATTAATGTGAAGAATTGCAAAGGCAAGACAAGGACAGAAGGTAAAGGAGCAGGAAAGGGACACATAGTTTTAATTATTTACTAAACACATACATTCATTACAACTAATGCAACAGCATAATTTGATTTTACTCAAACAGAAACAAAGATTTTAAGGCATAATATTCCTCATTATCAATATTACTTTTAACTTTAGATATTTTTCAATCAACTTGTTCAGAGATGTTATAAACCACTAGAGAAAGGGGGATTTGAACCCAGGTCTCTAGGATCAGAGATCGGGACACTACCACTGCACTACAAAGATGCACTTTTAGTATTTTCATCTATTCAGGAATGTTATGATACACCTCTGGATCAGAGGTAGGAACACTACCACTGCACCACAAGAGCCCCTTCTTAGTGGTGTTACTGAAAATGTAAATAGCAGAAGATGGTTTTGATCCATCAATCTCTGGGCTAGGTACACTCCTTTGCACCACTCTGGGAACTAAAATCACAAACCAAGCAACCCACCACTCTGGATGATTGGCAAGATTCAAATCCAGGTCCTCAGAACATTACCTGGGTCTCTGGATTAATAGTCTAACAATAATACCATTCAACCTTTACATCCCAATCATTTTCAACCTTAACATACGAATTGAAATTGTCAACACATAGGCTCTTGGACACTGCCCTTAGCAGTCAGGTGATCTAAATCAATACTACTTTTTAAATGAGGATTTATCATGAATGCCGCTTGCTCTTATGTTTAGCTATGAATTGATCATTGTAGGAAACATGATTAGAAAAGATTTGGAGGGATATGGCCAAAGCGCAGGCAGGTGGGACTAGTTTAGTTTAGGATTATGGTCGGCATGGACTGGTTGGACCGAGGAGTCTGTTTCCGTGCTGTTTGACTCTATGAAACATCCTCACTGGTGGTTAAAGGCAAAACTATGCAGATGGGAAATGCTAGAGTTTCAAACTACAGTCTGTGCTGCCAATTCATCTCAAGGAGGAGATGTCCAATTGACCACGGTCTCCCTGGTGTAGAGAAAGAGAAATATGTCCATTCAGCCCTGATCACTGGGGACTGCTGCTGGACAGTGTAAATGATTTAATGATGGATAAAGAACATTGAACTTAGCTAAGATGCCCTGTACACCAACTTCCTTGGTTAACATGAAGATTCCCAATTGGAAGTAAGTGCCAGTACTGTAAAAAGTGTGGATCTCTGGTATTTTCTGTTATATCACAGTATAACACAAAGGGACTTGAGTCTAAAGAATGAACTTTTATTTTCAAATCTCCAGGTCTTTTTCCGTTTTACATATTTATGGTGAGTTTTTAACAGGTTCCCCACCTGTAAGTGTCTTAGACATTTGTAGCAGATGCATGGGAAAACCACCACAAATGTGTATGTTCCCTTCCATGTTGTACTCGATCCTGACTTGGAATTATACCGCTGTTCCTTCACAGTCAAAATCCTGGAAGTACATTTCTAACTGCACTGTGGGGGTCCCTTTGTTCCAACGACTGAAGCAGTTCAAGAAGGCAGCTCACCACCCCTTCTCATTTGCAATTAGGGATGGGCAATTAATTTTGGCCAACCAGCAACATTCAAATTCCATGAATAAAATAAGTAAGTAAGGCCAGAAGACCACAAGTCATGGAAAGGTGTCCAATATTTGTATCAAAAGTTAACATTTCTTCAGGTTATTCAGAGATTTTAACATTTTAAAGGAAACAAAACAGAAGCTGCTGGAGAAACTCAGCAGGAAAAACAAAGTTAACATTTCAAGTCCAGTGACCCTTCATTAGAAATGGACTCAAAACGGGAGCTCTGTGTTTCTCTACACATATTCTGTCAGTCTTGTTGAGATACCTCTGGCCCTTTCTATTTTTATTTCAGATCTCCAGCACCTGCAGTTCTTTCTTTTATTCTTTCATCATTTTAAAGGACCTTCTGCCATCCTTTAGCAATCCTGGTAATGAGAGAAAAGTTGCATGCGACAATCACACACTGTGATTTTGACTGTTGTGATGATACTATGGCTTTAAGAGGTGTATTTTGTCCTGGTTTATTTTGAAAAGAGGTTTTAAGACAGAGGTGAAGTGCTGTCTATGAAAACCCATAAAATAAACAGTTTGTGAGGGCTTGGTTTTTTTTTAAGTTGGAACAATAGAAGCAGCCTGAATGGGTGGGGTCAAGCTCCCACAGAACCAGGATTTTTAGTTTTAGTTTTCAGTAGCAGTTGCTGGAGTCTTGAAGCTGGATGTGGCAGCTGTTCGTCCTCTCTCTGTCAGAGCTAAAAGCTAGAGGTTCTCTTCCTGCTGCTGGAGTTGCCTGTGAGACAACCTGTTTTACTGACTTTGCCTTTGCCAAGGGTGTGTTTTTGAGATGTTACTATATTGGAACAGTTACTGTTTAGTAATTAAATAATCTAGTATTCTGTTAAGTTTTCCAATAGAGTTGTTATTTAATTTCTTCTTTCTTTTGATGTATTTTAAGTATAGTGTTTTATGTATAGTCTGCTTAGTGTCAAGTAGTTTGACTAATCAAATGCATCTGGAACATGGCACTTATCTTTAAAATATGAAAAAGTCAGGATCTAGGCCATCTTCTAAATATATTTTAAGGGGATTCGGTCTGGTCCATAACACTGTCCATTATGAAAATTTGGGCAAATGTTTTCCATGTCCACCATAACTTCCTACAGACAATCCCAGAACTAGCAGGAATTGCCAGAGAGGTGGAGTGTCACTGTCCAGGTGATATCCTGCTCCGAGAAACTGCAGTTAGAGGTGCTGGATAAATGCATATCAGAATTCGCAACTTTGGTGAACAATTGCAAAATAATGATGGATGTTCACTTAGTAAAATTGTTTGATTTGCTTTGTGCGAAAGGCGTTTTATAACAAAGGTAGTGCAAATAACTAAAGTTGAGTCACCATGTGGCTAAGCATGTGGTTGAGCAGAAATTTCAACTGGACAAGACTGCTAGAAAGGGATGTAATTTCTGCAGGACATCTGCACGCTGCCTTCAAGAAAATCCTGGGAAAATCAGCAAAACTAAAAATTCAAACAAAAAGGTAGTTATCAACAACGAAAAGAAAACTGTGACCAGCACCTTCCTCCAGAAATTGATTGTAACCGCAAGCAATTATCTGTGTGGGATTGTAAGAAAGCCAAAACAAATTGTCCATCTTGTAATCGGTCACTTAACTGGGGTCCTTAGTTTTGGGTGGTCAGGACACGTGCCAGGTACATCTAACATACTATGTGAACTTGCAGCCAAGTGAGAATTATAGCTTAAAAAAGGATGGCTGTCTGTCTCACTGATATAACAGCATCTTGTTGATCAACATGTGAATAATTTACAGTTTTGCCAGCCACAAGGAACATGGAATGATATAGCATTGGCAACAAAGGTACAGCGAAACAGAGAACATAAACACTTGTCTTTGCTTACCTTTGAGAAGTTTGACCACTGTGAAGTCCAGTGCAAAACTAATGAGAGCCATCAACATGCCAAGAATGAAGAGAAAATACCAGTCATCTCCTACCTGGAAAAGCTGGCGTTTGACAAATCCCAAACATCCTGCAGGACACAACAAATGAAGCATAAAAATGATTGTTAATAAGTTCATACAAGAGACTGCCAGTATAGAGACTGCTAGGTTTATCATTAACCTGTATTTTGTGGTAATAGTAACAGTGGCATTATCAGTTCTCACTCTTATTATAGCATAAATCAGACAGCTACCTCTGGAATCCACATGTGTGCATTTAAACAAGGAAGATAGAAAGTTACTGAGACAACAAGGTGCAGAGCTGGATGAACACAGCAGGCCAAGCAGCA